GATTTATAAACACCTATACCAAAGTCGAAGGAGGCTTTTTACTAGAGGCTCTACTATGACAACGATAAAGCAACTTACTAAGCAAGCTTCTTTGTGCTCATTGCTATGCAGATGATTCAAATATTCCTTTGCCGTTTTAGGAAATATATCGCAGACTTTACACCAATGCATTTCCGGATCATAATGCACGAAATTGTACATAGGTTTAGCGTCCTCAGGAGACCGTCGGTCTTTCGTTTCCCGTTCGATTTTGGACTCCTTATCGGAATCGGAGCCCGACGATCTATCCGGTGTCTCCGATTTCCCCTTCGGGAAATCCTCTTTAGGACTTCTTGAACGTTTGTTAATTTCTAGCTTAAACTTGCTTTTAAGATCGTCGACGGTCGCTTTATCCCCGATTATTCCGGTGAGCATATCGATCACGTTATGTATCGATTTCATTTTATTCTGTATTTCAATCTGCGAACAAAAACATTAGCGGCCGATCAGTGAAACGATAAGCGTCGCCGTGAACAATGGCGCAGACATTTACCTGCAACTTTTGATTCTCTTTTATGATGCGGTTATTTTCCCGTCCACCTTCTTTACCAATTTCGTCGCACTGCTGACGTAGAATTTCCAGCTCGCGTTGCAACGTGGCTGATTTTTTAACGTATTCCTCCCGTTGCTTAGCCAAGGTTGCTTTTTGCTGTTTTACTTCAGCTGCAATTGCTGCTAGGCATTTAATTGGAAGACATTTTTGGATTACGTGTATATCAGACGTTAGGAGTTGTTGTTCTTAGTATAGAAAGAGAAAGAAAGGAAAAAGAGAAAGGATCAGATGACACACCTTCCTTCTTGGCGTCCTCGGGTCTAGCCATGGATGAAACTAAGCCGGACGAACCACTATCCACCGGCCTCGACGACTCTTGCTGAGATGTTAACGTTGGAGGTGGCGGTGGTTGCTGATTGTTATATGGCACCTGATTTCCTTGCCAGTTCGGTGGAGGATAATCCTAACAAAATAAACAAACATTTGATTTCAAATACTGAAACAGTATTTCCATCGAACCTTACCTTTATTCGTCCATACTCAAATCAGAACTTTGGATAATGGAAGATTCTTCAAGATGAATTATCTGCTCAATAATACTGGTTTCCAATGTCGATGCCAATAAAATAAACAACGCGTGTGTTATACTTACGCGGGGACTTGCAACAGTTCGCGATACAAAGGAACCAAAGTTCATCTCCGAAAGCTAATAACACTTCCAGGCAGTGTTGTAAACACTCTGGTAGCGTAAATAGCAATTTTGTAATTACTCTCGTCGGTTCGTATGGTTACGATTAAATTATCAAGTGGGACACATTGAAAAAAATTCCTCGCAAACAGTAAAGCTTAACTGCATTGCAATGCTTGCAATGCAATCGTAATCATCAGAAAATAAGATTCTCATTTTTCTACAGAGTAAACGCTGTTCTTACAAGCGAAATCTTTTTTGCTAAACTTACACTGCGATAACCAGTGGGTTGCTGGTAACTGTAGTCATAGCCTTGTCCATAGTTGTAATTGTAATTGTTATACCCTTGATTGTAGGCTGGAATGGGTGGAGGTGGTTGACTTGTGTTTGGAGGTGGAGGTGCCTATAGAAGAAACAACATTTTTCTATATAATCGATTCCGTATAGCGGATACGCTGTTAAAGGGAAATATTAATTCTATTGTACCTGATACTGATTATGAACTGTTGAAACATAACCACCAGAACTGTTAGGATTAGGAGTAGAAGCTTGAGATTGAGATGTCTGCTGCTTCCACTCTTGCTGTGAACGACTCGACTCCTTCCTTCTTCTGTCTCTTGAACTTGAACGCGACCTTCTGTCTCTAGAACGAGAACGGCGATATCTGCTTCTTCTTGGAGACGGAGATCTATCGTATTTTCTGGACCTCCTCCTATGAGCAGAATCTTCTGAATCTGCACTAGGACTTCTTGGTCCTTTGCGTCTTGATTCTTGCTCCATCTTTCTCCCTTCGGACTACAAAAGATACAATTTTATTAAATATATCTGAAACCAGCACAGAATTCTCGTACATGGGACTATCGATCACAGGCGACAACGAAACTCAACGTTAAATTCTTTAAAATATTCATTACATTCTGAAAATGTCATACAGCTTCCAGTAACGGACATTTCACGAGAAATACGAAATTATTTTAAACGTCGCATTGCAGCCATTGCTATTTGCCGATAAAACATCAACGTTACATCTCGACGTGTTCAACGTAATTGCAACCACTCACCTTTGTCAACGATGATTCTGCAGTTTTAGTACTTTATTCTTGGTAAGTACTAACGCAAAATAGCGAGAATAATTCGCCTTAAATCGCTTGAAAACCATTCATTCGTCGTAACGTAACGCGGACCAAAAAACGAATGGAAGAAGCCGAACTATGACTGTTGATGAACTGCATAAAAATAAAAAGATATTAGATGGACAAACGTGGAAATAGTCGTAATGTTACTAGATTAAAGTCCCTATTGTTGCGCAGTAACTAGGAACATAATTTGAACGACTTACCTTCATTGGAGGACTAGTGAGCATAGTAGCCCTCTAATAACAAATCGAAGAAACATCGCAATAAATGTTACTGCTTTGACATCTTCCTATACCGTTCGATGAGAACAGGAAACGTAAACGGATTTCAATTAGCTGTTGTGTGTTTAACGCGTTTGTATGATTTGTATTTACATTGAAAATCTATTATACTCTTCCACAAGAATGCACGCTGGTACGAGAAACGAGAAGAAGAGTTGGTCTGTTGTTTAAATAAACCAGTGATGAACGAAACGACAGAAAATAACGATTTACGAGATTCTTTATTATGATAGTGCCACGAGGTAAAAATAATTTGCACACCTGTTTGTTATTTGCATGGCCTCGCGCTAATATGGCTAGTAAAATATTTAAAAACGAATAACCGATAACTACGTCATTCGATGCAATTAATTTTCATATTATGCGCATTTTAAATGAAAGTTACTTCACCTAACAATCGTAATATTTAAGATAATCGATGTTTTAATGGATCTTAGTATGATGAACTGATATTAAAATGTTATGATAGAAACTTGTTATTAATTTTAGTGGAAAATAAAGTATTAGATATATTTAATTAAACTGAACACTTGTGAATGATTTAATGTCTTCTTTCTTATCACCATTAAAGAATAATGGGATGTATTTAAAAACAAAAAAATTGATAAGAAGTTATCTCATGAGTAACATTGTCTAATGTTTTTCAAGTAGGTTATATCAAGAGGATGATAATTGAACGATCTCTTCCATGTACATAATGAAGGATAATTGTATTGGTCATGGATATAATTAATATAGAGGATGTGGAAGCTAGTGTTCGTCCATCAAAGAATTCTTCATCGGTACAATGCAACTGCATAAATTCCAATTCACTATGTTACATTGTTGTAACGGTTGCTACTTTGGCTCTTCTAGGAGCAATAGTCTTTATCTGCAGGGACTACATCAAAGTATTACTTTATTGGATTGAACATCAAAACATATGGATCGTCACTATAATATTTATTGCTTTGTTTACTGTGGTTTCTTTCCCTATCGTAATTGGTTATTTATTCCTTATTATTGCTAGTGGCTATCTCTTTGGTATGTTAAGAGGTATTATGATGGTGATGTTATCTGCTAATCTAGGAATAGCCATAGCACATGTAACTCTTAGCACATTATCATCAAAACTGCCAATTGGAGCACTTTTACAAAATGATACTGCAAGAGCAATACTCAGAGTTATATCTGGACCACAAGCTTTCAAAGTTGTACTGTTTGCAAGATTGACTCCAATTCCATTTGGTCTGCAAAATACTATTTTTGCAGTACGTACCATTTTTTTTTGTATAAATATATATACATATCTAATTAAAATAGTAATGTAAACTACATTCTTAGGTGAGCAACATGGGTGGCATTCAATATCATTTAGCAAGCGCATTGGGTTTATTACCTGCTCAAATAATTAACATCTATTTGGGTAGTAGTCTGAGATCTATGCAAGATGTTCTCGAGGATAGATCAACAGCAGCTACTGGTTATATTGTCTTCTGTTTTCAGGTATCTTGTTAAACAAGTCAGATATGTTTTATCTAAAGTGAATACACTTTTTGCTTATATCCGTTGCATTTTTAGATTCTAATAGGTATTTCATTAATGGTGTATGTTGTGCAAAAAGCACGAAGAGAACTTCAATTGGCATTATTGGAGGCAGATCTGGCCTCAATGGCTGAATCATCTCATTATCTTCTTGATACATTACCAGACTCAAAAATAGTGTTGACAAATTTACTTGCCTAATGTTCACATCCAAATTTCATTTCTACAGTAGGTAACTACATGTTATGTATTATGTTTTAGTATTCCTTATCCAAATTCAACATTTTTATGATAATACTTTATCACTGGACCACATAAGTTAATATAAAAACTAATGTCATTTAATCGTTAAATAGAAAAACAATTATACAATCATTTTTCCGTGGATAATGTTATTATAAAAGAACTGAATATTTTGTGATACAAACAGTAATTAAGTAATAGCTATCGAATTAAATATAGCTAAAGTTTCTAGGCAATAACAAAGACAAATAACGTTTCACGTTTGCAGCTTTTTTAATGTATGATTATATATACATATATATATTTTGTGCCAAATTTTATTTCCAAATGTAAAAAATCTCCATGTCTTATGTCTTCATTTACTATACAGAAATTTCGTTTTATTTATATTTGTTAATAACATACTATCAATAACATTGTATTTTTTTACGTTTATCTTTACATAATCTGTTCAAGAGCAAGTCTTCCAAAAGATTAATTGTCTTCAGAACATGTTACATAACTTGAAAGCTTGAACATGAAAAACAGTTAAAAGTGTACACAAAACATGGAGGTTCTGAAGCATTGAAACTAAAATTATTAAAATAAATTTAGAGTGAATTTACGAATTTCTAAATCTGAATGAATAGAAAAACATTTATTTAGAGAAAAATTCATTTTAATACCTTGATTTATGTATATATTCTACTTTCTGTGACATGCTTAAGATAAAAAATGTCGAAAATATTTATATTTTTAAAATGTATGCAATCGCTTGTTATACTGATGAAGATGCAAAAGCTACTACAACATAAAATTCGGAATGCATTTGATCGAGAAGACTGAAGCTATAACAATTGAAAATATCACAAATTTTTACTTTAATTTGTTAATAGGTCAGCATATAATTATTTTTTAATCTAACGTAAATATTGTCATTCATCTTCATAAAAATGTAGTGTATTCTTTTCCTAAATTATGAAAAATGTACAAAAGGTAAAGAAAATGTGAATAATTACTATCACTTACAATAGTCTCGCAGTTTGCATGCTAACTTAAGCTTAATAGTGTCATAAGAAACTATATTGTACAAATTGTAACATAACATAATTGTAAATCTTAATGACTACACCAAATAAATGGGATTGTATTCATCTGCCCTTCTCATTTGTACTTTGTTTAAAATTACCTACATTAATTATACCTTTGAGTATTTCTCCTGATGTTCCTCTAATGCCTTTTTGATCACTGCAAAAGTAAAATCCGCATCCTCTTTTGTTACACACAAAGGTGGTTTTATTCTCAGCACCTATGCATTTTAAGTACAATTAGTCATACGTTTAAATACTACAAATATTTAATGTATACTAATTCACTTACATTTCCATGTAATCCTCCTTTACCAAGGAGGACACCCATATTTTTTATATTTTCGAAAATGTCGAGGATATGTTCATTTTTCAATGGTAGCTTTGTTTCTGGATTTGAAATTAATTCCACGCCAATAATTAGTCCTTTTCCCCTAACATCCCCGACAATATTAGGGAACTCTAGCAATAAGGTATTCAAACGATTGATCAGATAAGTGCCAATTATATCTGCGTTCTCTTGAAGTCTTTCTTCCTCGATAATCTATAATAATTTGAACAAAATATTACATTTCAAATAGTTTCAGGTAACGTTAGAAAATTATAGGTATATATACGTCAAGAACTGTTGTTCCCACGGCGCATGCAACGGGATTTCCCCCAAACGTGTTGAAATGTAGCGCGGTGTTTAAACTATTGGCTATTTCGGCGCTGGTAACTACTGCGCCCAAAGGAAATCCATTTCCTATACCTTTCGCCAATGTCACTATATCAGGTACCACACCATGGCCCTCAAAACCCCAAAAATATTCACCAGTTCTGCCGAACCCAGTTTGAACTTCGTCCGCTATGCAAAGGCCGCCTTTGCTGCGGACGTGATCGTATACTTTCTGAAGGAAACTTTTGGGGTATTGTACAACTCCTCCTACTCCCTAACGGTTACGTAACATTTATGCTTAATTAGAGAAGAAATGTTTTTGTACTTCCTTTAACTTCCTTTTTCTAGATTATTTGGGTACCTGAATACTTTCAGCTATGAACGCTGCTACGCTTTCTGTGCGAGGCAAGCTGAAACAAAAGGTTTCTGCAAAGTCACAGAAATACTTGTCCGATGCTACACACTTTTCCTGACTACAATCGCAATGTCTGCTTGCTTGTACTATGGAATCTCTGCATTTTGATCCACCCCATTGACCTTTGTAAACATCTGGATATCCTACCTGAAGTTAAATATTATTTAAAGGCAAATTTGTCCCTTATTTCAGTATAAACTGGAATGTGTAAGTACGAATATTTACATGTAAATATCCAGATGGTTGTACAATAATTGGGTATCTCCAAGTACTTATCGCAGTAGATGCTACAGTCCCATAAGTTGCTCCATGATAACCATTTTTTAAAGAAATGATATTGTTGTTACGCGTATAAACTCTAGCCATCAAAAATGCTAATTCATTTGCTTCTGAACCACTATTTGTTAAGTAGACTACTTTCAGTTTACCAGGAAACTTTTTAGCTAATTTTTTTGCATATTCATATAGACGAGGGTGCATATACACAGAGGACACGTGATTCAATTTTGCTGTTTGTTCAGTTATGGCAGCTACTATTTTCCTAGAGAGCAAAGACAAGGAAACCACCATTGTGTTGTCTAATTTATTAAAAATTATATTTATTATTCTATCCATTATTCCTTGGAGATCATTATGTTTTTTACAAGCCATGTACTTACGGATGAGCATGTCCAACAGATATTGTGGCAACACCCCCAAACATATCTAAATAACGTTTCCCGAGATGATCCCATAACCATTGTTTTTTACCTTCGTGTATAATTAAGGGTTCTTTATAAAATGGTTTTAAAGAAGGGGACACAGTTGAGTTGTATGCTGTTTTCATATCTTCGTAATTACTACCCTGGGTCACAGTCAATTTTTAACTTTATGGAATACCAAAAACGTTAAGATGAATAAAATATCTCACCGTGTAATTAGAAGATATATATTTGCAGTCTGGCATTTTCGGGAGGTCTGTCGTATTAATTGTAAAAAATCGTACTTGATTAATAAACCCTAACAAAATGAACTACATTTTATTATCTGTAATAATGAAACTTAAGAATTTAAAAATTAATAACTATTATCAAAAAGACATTTAGTTTCTTAGAAATTCAAAGTTTAGTGAAGCTCTATATTTAAACTTTCTAAGTAAATTAACTGTAATGAATATAATAAACTACTTACATTTTGAATTCCTATACTGAATATTCGCACTGATTTTAACAAAATTATTTATTGACATTTTAATATAATGTAAGTTTCAAAGTACTGCTATATGAAATACGTTTTCACTGTTCAATGGTCAATTGCTTTATGATGCCAGCCAATGGTTATATGTAATTTAGTTTAAAAGTTAAACAAGGTTCCTTCCATTTGAACACTCATGTATATAGATAAATACATTGAATAATGTATGCACAGAGGAAATAAACATGCTCCTTATATGAATATTAATTTGTATGCATTGGATATTCACAGTAAACAGTAGCATATATTTTAGATTGAGCAAGATTCCAATATACTTTAATTGTACACAACTATAAAAAATATGGTATTAAATAATTTAGAATGGTCTAACTTAGGTGAAATAAGTTAATATAAATTAGAATTTATTCTCATAAACTAATTTTTATTTGTCAATATTTATGCATTTAGTGCTTTTATTTCATCACTTTCTGCTTCTATTTGTGGATGTTCTGTACTTGTTTCTGATTTTATTTTAAATGTTATTGGTATCTTGTGTAGGACTGGATTTTTTATTTGCAAACATCTTATCCATGATAATAAAGAATCTTTAGAGGATGTGCCTGTAATACACATTGCATAATATACACCATCGTCTTGTTCATGATCAGTAACAGGAATTTTATTATGCAGTTTCTCCCAAAAGGGAATTTGCAAGTTAGATACATCTGAAAACAATAGAATAAAATAATTTTAATATAATCTGCAACATAAAATCTTTAAATATATTACTGTCTTACCATCCGCAGAATCATATATAATTTCCCGTTTAATTGGATCTCCCTTCAATACAAAGTAATGTAAATAGGAATTTCCAATCCAAATGTTAAAAGGTCCTTCAACAAATAAAGACTGATCGGTAGGTTGTACAGCAAGAAGTTCCTCTTGTGTTCTACTCATTGTAGATAAAATCCATGTATCCTCAGTAGCCCCAGGTACATCTGTTGTTTTGTACTCTGTAATTTTGCTTAACACATCCATACTAGCCATTTTTTTCAAAGCATACTGTCCAAGCACTTTATGATCGGTAGGTGGAGGATCTGGAATTGGCCAAGGATTTAATTGATGAAATTTTGCCATCCAATATGCTAATGCTGCATACTTTCTTGCAGGCCAACTTCTTATGCCAAAGATGTTTATGATCAATTCTTGCATCTCATAATCGGGCATTACTCTATTCTCTTCCATTTTTGATAATAACCTTAAAGCTGTGTCTTGTTGTTTTGGATAATGCAGAATTTGATATCTGCTTGTTGTTACATATTCACCTTTGGGAAATACATTCAATAGCGCTTTGTACACTTCAATATCTTTATTTACACCATACTCATCCATAAATTTCATAGCGTATAAAATGAATTCTACTTGTTTTTTTCTCAAAGCGGGTTCATTCGTATACCTATGTATTACATCTAAATATGCACTTTTCTTCTTTTCATTCCCAGTAAACAGGTGCATAGGAAGTTTGGTGTCATCTTTGTCATATAGAACACGACCATTATGAAAGTAATTCACAAATGCAAATCGTAGAAATTTTGAATTCTTAGGTATCCCAGTCGTAAGTAATACATTCGGAATCCTTTTGATCAGAAATTCCATTTTAACGCCTTTTCTGTGTTTTACAATATTTAAATATACAACAATTTATATACACCCTACGTGGTATTTATAACCTAAGTGTGACCGTCTAAACACAAATGTACTCTCATGTTCAATTAACATTCTGAAACAGCTCTTATGTCAGATGCTATAATATTCTCCTTACTTTCATAATTCTATTAAAATTAATCATAATATTTTATCGATTTCTATTCATAGAAATTCTTGCAATTCGAATTACACTTGCGCGTTTAATAGAAAAATCAATAGTACCATAGACGTGATACAAGAGTAGATTTGATAGTCACTGTATTTTCGCGATAAACTTTTTTGAGGCATTAAACTCTTCTATGCATCAATTTTACTCTGTAATAAAATATATATATCAATTTTGAAAGTTTCAGTCATTTTGAAATAAAATAAAATGTTCAATACTCTATAGTTCTAAGATCCTTTGAATATTTTCTGTGACATCCTAAATTTCAGCAGCTCTTTTAGTTACACGAAATACTAAAAATTATATTTTGAATTTCTAAGTCGATAAAGTAGTTGACTTCGACTACGAAAGTTTAGATACTCAATCTATTCTTCTATCTTGTCGATGATAATATGTTGAAGTCCTTAAGAACAAATATGAGTATGAATAAATAAAAATTTTAATATAAAATTGTACAATATACTTTCTATGCTTGAATATTTTTCTGTGTTTCAAAATAAGATTATGAATGAATTGAATATCAGAAATTTTTTACATAATATTCAAGTTTATTTCAAAGATATTAACTTCGCCAATTTTAAGAACATTTCAATGAAGTAAGATCTACCAAACGCATACACGAAATGCTAATATTTTTGAAAATATAATAGAAAGATTTATTTTTAATCTAAAACATGTAGATATCTTTGAAAACAATGGAAGATTGATAGCATACGCTTACAGGCAAGCATAAACAGAAGCATATTTAAGGAGCTTCTAAGAAGTATTGCAACATTAGTGAGAACCCCTGTCATTAAAAGAACAAAAATAGAACGGTTTTAAATTATAGAATTTAATTTCGTGAAGGTGAAAAGTTTTAAATTTTAAATTGAATAACACACTTTACTATCCGTTATGTTATTGAAGAATAATAATAAATATAATATCTATCTTGGTATTATGCGAAATTCAGTTATGTGTTAATTAAACACATTTTCCAAGTTTATCTAGTAAATTCAATGCGAAAAAAATTACAATGCAGAGTAAGTTATGTCTTCCGTGTGATATAAAAGTGAAATAAAGAAGTCATAAATATATTTTACGTGATGAAGCTGCAAGAAATATCGAAGGTTATTCAAATTATTACACAAGAATCCTTTAGTGTTTGATGTTACTATTGGAAAATGAAAAAAAAACGAGCCATATGAAATATGACTGGCATGTGAGATTATTTTTTCTAATAAAACGAGACAAATTTTTCTATTTTCTGTGATAAGCACCGAACAGATTATTTATATTGTATATATTGTTAAATATTCTGCAACAATGAATCCAGTGTTCAAAATATTTTTATCCTATTGTTGGGGAAATATGTATTTAATAATTGGACTAAGTATGGGCTTAAGCCTCAGTATGATGTCAATATCTATCAATATGAATGAGTATGATATCAATATAGATCACCAAATGCCTCATTCAAACTACCCAGATGATTTAGATGAATACGAACCAAAGATAAATATCAATAGCAAACCGCAACAAGCACAAAAAGTACCAAAAACGCTAATACGCCCGAGATATTATTCCACTGAACTTGGAATCAAAGAAAAATTATTCATAGGCGTGATCACAAGCCAACAACATTTGCATAGTAGAGACATAGCAATTAATAAGACAGTGGCTCATATGGCGGATAAAATACGCTATTTTATTTCAATACCAGAAGGAACTAAACCGAATGTTACACTTCCTGGTATAGTTGGATTCACAGATACCAGAAGCATTTTGAAACCATTCCACACTATGAAATATATAGTTGATAATTACTTAGAAAATTATGATTACTATTTCTTGATTAAAGATATAAGCTACATCAATGCTAAAAAATTGATGCAATTTATTACCAAGATTAGCGTAAGTCAGAAAGTTCATGTGGGTGTTCCTGGAGATATTCAGAATTATTGTTCTTTAGGTAAATTTTCATTTATATTATAACATCATATTATTAGCATTACTCTTTTATTAATAGAAACACACGACTCATTTTCAGATTCAGGGATCCTTTTGAGCAATTCGGTAATACAAGAATTGAAGAACAATTTAGACTGGTGTGTAAAGAATGCTTATTCCGATTCGGACGACGTTAATTTTGGTCGATGTATCGTTCATTCGTCATCAACGCCTTGTTCCAATCATACACAAGGGCAACAGTACCAATTCACCAAGTTGAAACCCACGTTCTTATTTGAGAAACATTTTAAGGAATTAGCTAGAAACGAAGAGTTTCTAAATTCGTTCGTGATATACCCGATATACGATCACCTCCTTATTTACAAATTCAACACTTATTTTGCAGCAGTAAGATTATTAAACAGACACAATTTTTTCATGGAATCAATTTACATTTAATAATTGTCATTTATCGTACTGCTTTCAGATGAAGTCTATTGAAATTCAAAGACAAATATCCGACATCAGGAAATCAATTAAAACAACGGCGTACTTAGGTCCACCCCAAGAACACAATATTTCCTGGCCGGTTGGTAATCAACCAGGAAACAAAGCATCCGGACGTTTCGATATCTTACGGTGGACATATTTTAATGAAACCCATACATTTTTCAGTACCGACTTCTTAACTGTACAGGAACTAAAGGTTGATGCAAAGTTCGACATTGATCGAATAATTAATGTAACAGCCTCTAACATCATTAGTAGCTCTCAGCAAAAATTAAAATTCAAAAAATTACTAAACGGGTACCAAAAATTTGATGCATCGCGTGGAATGGATTATATATTAGACTTAGCGTTTACCGACACTGTCACTGGCAAAGAAATAAGGAAAAGAATCGAAGTGTGCAAGCCTCTTGGTAAAGTTGAAATTCTACCTGTTCCATACGTAACAGAAAATACAAGGGTAAACGTAGTATTGATTGTCGATTCATCAAAGAAGCAGGCTGCATTGAACTTTTTGGAACAGTATGCCATAGATTGCATGGAGAAGAAATATAAAACTTTCCTAATGATGGTTGGTACTTCTTGAATTGTTTTTCTTTTATCGTGAAAATTTTCATAGCTAACTTTTCCAATTCATTGACAACCTTGATTTTTCTGTAGGCTCTTTTATACAATTTTGGTTCCACTTCGAAAGGTAAAGGGGACGTGTTTCACGACATTAAACAGTACGCGTTAACATTAGCTGACAAGTATAAAAAAAATCTTTCGAAGATCACTTGGCTTTCTATCCGTTTACCAAGTAATGTAACGTCCATCGAATTAGATCCGATGTTAAATATCGCTGTCACAGATCTGTGCATTCGTAAATTTTCACCAGAAAGTTTAATACTATTTGTTGAGACGGGAATACAATTACGATTGGATTATTTGAATAGAGTAGGTATATTACTTATTTTAATTCTTTCTCCACATTTGAAACTAACTACTAGTCTGCAAATGTTTAGATTCGTATGAATACCATCAGTCAGTATCAGATATTCAGCCCAATTCCATTTGTGGAATTTCACCCTGACATAGCTCACATAAACGATGCAAAACATGTTGACACAGACATCAATCGTAATCACGGGAGATACGATAACTATAATTATAATAATATTGCTTTTTACGTCAAAGATTACAATACAAGTAAGTGTTTCGAAAACATATTTTTTATACTATTTACTACACTGATAGTCAAGGAGGAGATTAAGGTCACTTCTTTGACTGTCGCAGACATCACAGGCTACATTGACTTTCCTCTTAGAGCAACGAATTATTTTGGCGTCAATGTAATTACTTAAGAGGCTTCTTTGTCGTACATCACGTTAACAACACGTTCTAATGTTTCAGTGCGAAGAGCGGTCGAGACTAGCATTCCAATAACACACTTCGATAGGGACATTCTGCCACTCTTAAAACTATCACAGGATCTACCTGTCACGTCTCTCTTTGAAATGTTTGTTTCTTTTAGTAATGTACATATATTACGGGCAATAGAACCAACGCTAAAAGTAAAATATAAAGATACCGAATGCAGTAGCGCCTACAACAACAACGTGTATAAGCTTTGCAACCGATCAAGCAATTTCCATTTGGGTCGGCGTAGCCAGCTCGCTAGACTGGTATTAGATTACCAAATTTACAAAAACAATTTATTAAAATGAATAATATTTACCGATGACACTAACATAGATCGTTATAAATGACATTAGTTGTATATGTAAAACTGTTAATTTGCATGAAGATTAAGAACTATTGTCAGGTTGAAGAATAACATTATAATTTATATAGTACAAAAACGTAAGTAACTCCAGGTGAAGTTACTAGTGGACTATTTATATATAATCGATGTAAAATTTGTTATTAAATATCCTGCATGTATATAATACAATCCGTATTATAATGAATACTTTATTAAATTTATACAATTTCATTTAAATAAATATTTTTTAAGTAATACAGTCGTTTGATCGTTTTTGTGCACACATCGTATATGACATTTTGCATTCTGAGACGAGACCGTTCGTGTACAACCAAACGGACGTACTACGGTATTATGACATCCAGATATCAGAAGCATTTTGAACAACACAAAAATCAAATTCAACATTAAACGATTGAAAACTTTTGCCACTTTCCTAAGAAGTACATAAATGGTTTCGGCAAGATTTCTACCTTTAAAGTATATAAGAAAGTAAAGATCATATGTAATTACACTAAATATTAGTCAATAATAATTGTACAATCCCTAATACCTTATACATAAATGTACATACACTATATTACCATTCGTATTCGTTACTTTTTCCATATGTTTAACTGTTGGAAAAAGCAAACGTTTGCTATGCGCTTGCGCACAGAAAAAATTACTGCAGTACATGTAGAATGTGTGGAGGCATCCTTTCGTATTTCCTTATCGCAGTTTCATCTGTGATGTACAACAAAATTAACAATTCCTCTATTTTATCTTCATGTATTTTTTAATAGACCATAGCAAACGATATGCTGGAAAAACAATATTTTGACCATAACGATCTTGAAAGATCTTCCGATATATCTGAAAAATGTTGTATCGACGATCATTCATTTGTTCAAAATAATGTATTATTGTACGCTGTTTATATACATTACCATTAATCGCTGTCAGATTCTGATTCCGATAGCTGCAAATCGTCGTTTAAAAGATTATCTGACATCAGTCGTGTAGGAGAGGAAGCTGTACTATTCGTATGTCCTGGAGAAAATACGATCTCAATAATTTTTAGAATACATTATACATTTATAATAATCAAATAATTATCTTAAATATGTACCATTAGTTCCTGGTATCACGGGAACATTTTCAGTTTCAGAATCACTATCCGAACTATCTGAACTTGAGCTACTTGTAGTAGAATCACTTAGAGCTCCTTCATCACTGTCTACGTGTACAGGAGGTTTTGTGGTTGGTTGAGTATTCACAGCAGGAGAGGGTCTTGGAGGTGCAGAAGAATTCATTGGGGGGAATGATCCAGGTGCCATCAAAGGACAGTCATCGATCTCGGAACCAATCATTGGCAAACTAGCCAAAGGTGGTGCGGCAGATAGTTGCACTGGTGAACTAAAGTTCTGTGTGTTTTTAGTACGTTTAGAAAAAAATCTTAATGTATTACAATATCATTACTACATAGGAAAACTACTAGAGAATTATTCAAAATGTCATTCAACAATTACTTTTTCAAATTTCTCTTCCAAATACTGATAAGCGAAATTAAATTGAAGCCTCTTATTTTTCAGACCAGAAACTTTTAGAGCCATATCTCTAGCATTTTCTGTGATGGAGATTGTAAGCTGGCAAGAATACAGCCCTAATGATAACACCAATGATTAAACTACAGAGATATGAATATACAGCTCTAATATAAAGTCACAAAATACAAAGATCTCTATTTAAAATAAGAAATATTCAAATACCTATTAGTTGAAGTGGATGGTGGGCTCTTGCCATGATACGGAGAAACTCTAAGAGGACTGAACTGCTTTGGATGTAACTGAACGCTCGGTTCTCTTTTCTTTCCACTTGTAACTTTTGTTCTCCCAGTTGCCCTGCCATGCGTGGGACTCCTCTTAGCTTCAACTGGAGTTATCGGTCTACTGCTATTATTTCCTCCAGGAATTCCTAAATGTGACTGCAACTTTGGTTCTGTTCTAAAAGAATTATGTACCGTATATCAACTGCTTACAATTTATTTGTGATACACCAAAAAGAAGATACAAAATCCAATCATACCTAGTTTTCTTAACTAGTATGTTCGCTGTCAATTTCTCCAAAGTAATCTCTCCTGTAACTCTATCTATTATAAGAACACATTCTTTGTGATAAGGTCTCTGAGAACCTTTAAACACTGTGTGAGGTATTCCGGCACCATCTAAATGTGGCACAGTAACTGTCATCGTGTTGTTAGCTCCAACATCAACCCTCGCTACTTTAGAAACATCAACACTAGCAGGCTTGAAATCATCTGGAATTAAGGGACCAATATTTATAAACGAACCCTAAAGACTCAGACATGAAATGTACTTCGCACACTAACATTTTAAGGTGTGAAAGGCTGTAGATCTGTTGTTGGTAAAGCTTTGTCCAAGTTTAAGTTCCCGAATCTCGGGACCTAAACCCAGACGCTCTGCCATGTCACGCCCGATGCCTTGAAAGTTTGTTTCGGGGACAGAGGTGACTGATTTCATCAGAACCAATTTGATTATTCACCTTCCCGTGAACTTACACGCGCCAAGTGCTAGAGGCACGAGAAATTCTCAATGAGTCGGGATTATGTATCGGCAGCTTTATTAGTTGGCCTGCCAAAATATGGCAGAGACGCGCACTCGCATTTTCCAGTAACAGCTGCTCGAGAAAGTTGCACAATTTCTGCTGTTACGTTGACCACGTTCGATCGAACATCCGATTCGTTACGTTCACAGATATTATTACTGCCGAACCGTGTCCCAACGATCAATAAATCAACACGGCACAGCAAAATTAAATGAAATTATCACAGCTCGTACTACGCGAATCCTCGTTGACCTAGTTCAGTCCTGAGTACCTGCACTCAGGAAGATTCACACTTATGGTTAATTCGTTTGGTGATATCGACACCGATATTCAGCAATTAAATTCATTTGGTTGATTCAATGGAACTCAAAGCAAATTACGGTCGATTCGTATCCGAATCCTTGATAAATACATTGCATCGAACGCTTTCGTGTTCACTCGAACATTAACTCATCGAGTGCATTATAGCAATTTAAGTATTATCATAGGATCTGCATTCAATACAGACAGGATACTAACCGTAATTTTTGACGGATGTGACGTCACAGAAAGAAACGCGTTTTGATTGGGCCTCTGGAAATATTTCAAATCTTGAAATTTAAAAAAAAAAGAATTTGTATAATCTATTCATGCTGTCTTTCAACGAGTTTATAAAAGATTATATATTTTATTGCTGTACGAAACAGCTGAAATATTTGATTTATTTAGGATCGGTAGTATGGCAATATTCTTAACCTCTCAGAATTTTACGACCTAGGGATATTTCGTTCTTCTAGGGAACTTGCTATACCGCAAAATGGCGCGACATTTGTATACAAGTTGAGTGTATAATTGAAAAATCAGTTTATTTTTGTTAAGGATATAAAAATGCAATAACTGTTCAATATATTAATATTATTCACACTTCGTTTAAAGTTAACACCATAAAAATTTCTATGAAGCAAAGAGAATATTGGGTCAGGTCCGTACTTGGAATATCGTAATAGTAGCAAAATTCATCGATGAAAAATCGTTCGAAAATGAAGGAAGCAACCAGACTGATAACATTATAATTACTATATCGTAAGCCCACCAATGCAATCATTAACAACTGCAATGTAGAAGCAATGTTTAGTAACAACTGATGTCTTCTTATCTGTCTCTCTTTTCGTTTTGGCTGCAGCTGGAAAAATATTGGCAAAACGCCGACGGAAAGTACTATGAGCCAAACAGTTTCGTTAATCCCATATCCAGATAGGATACCAGCAGTAAACAATGCCAAAGGTGCAACATCAACAATCTTGGAGTACCAGTCATAGAAAATCCTTAGGTACTTTATTAAAGCGGTTGCTGATGTAATACATGGAGCTCCTGGAAGTAACATGGCTGAAAATAATGTGCTTAATACTCAATACACACAATTCAGTACAAGTGCCACTATGTTTACTATTCTCATTGCTTCTAAACAATGAAGCGAAAAACAAATTTTCTTTTTTTTTGTATTCTTGAAGCCATCAGAGTTTTATAAGAATTTAGAACTCCCAAATTCTTCACTGTGCTCATCTAACACGACTTGACAGCGAGAAATGAAAATATGCAAAGGGCAATACTATTTGTTCTAAATCATGAAAGACAGATATGAACAGATAATTGTGTAGTTGTAAGATTAATGTGGGAGTGAATGTATCAGTTGGAACTTGTGAGAAATAATATGGATGATGGATGTTATTATTAATGTTATATATTTGCAAATGTAGTGGAAATTCATAAACATTACATTACAAACTTGTAAAATAAGTTAGTTTTTAAAACAAAAAATCAGATTACATAATAGGTACAGTGACCATATGTCAGTTAATATTTAATATTTAGTACTTTGATGTATTACAAATTTAGTAAATATTCAATAATACAAGTCTAAAGAAATTGATTGTCGAATGACAATTTTCTGTGAAGTCAAATATAATTGAAAATTTGAATCCTACCAATATTACTTTTCCATTCGTATTATTGAACTAAATTATAATGTTCTGTTGAAGAAAACTATAGTTATGCAAGTGAGGTCTGTCACCAAACTAAACCACAATGCAAAATCAATCCATAATGAAATGCAATAAGAAGAAGCAAAATAAAAGATTCAAACACATGTTGTGTCTTGCACAGTAAGCATAAAGCGAATGATATGCCCGCTTAATTAGCCATATAAGCCTCTAAATATTAAGTGCATATTCAACGAATTATATCAGCTTATAAATAGAGAATGCATATTTCGCAGTGCTAAATAAAATTCTCGTGCAAACTAATCATTATCTTTTACACAGTGATAGTCAGACACGATTATTTTCTTTGTTTCAAGAATTTTGTTTGAATCAGTGCATTAAAGTTACAATATTATTTCTCACCTGTTCCAATGACACTGAAATACTATAAATGATGAAATAAAAACACATCTTCTTCCATTAGAGTTTTACATTGAAAAGTCAAATATAATACCCTTATGTAGTTTCATACCAACTAATCCTCCGCATGACCCCCAATAATTTATTAGTTATACTTTTAGGGGGCTCTGTACAGATAATGTTGTTTTAAAAATACACTACATTGATATCAAGATGCAGAATAATGTAAACATCGAAGGGTACTTCCTTACCAAACCTAAGAATTCCTATGATGGAGTGGGAGAGTAGAATTTGGAAGGCACGAAGTGACCAGATGCTTGCTCTATCATGTAGGTTGTCGACAGCTTTCATACAACCAATTGTCACGATAAATTTTATTAGATGTGCTATAACGCAACTTGAACAAACCATGGTCATCTCTTATTCACGGACACCTTACTATCTGACAAGATTAATCTCGGATCGCGAGATAAGACATGCTTAACGAAAAGTTCCATGCGATTATAATATCAAGTCAACTGTACAAAAAAACTGTTCCGTCTTATTAACGAAACCAACGAGCTGCTTCGCAAATTTTTTTTCTCTTTCTCTAAAGAGGTTATATTCTAATATAGTATTGTTCCCGTAACTCCGCGAAACTCGGAAAATTTAACGATACGTTCACGAGTCGTGGAGGCTATTTTGTCTTTGCCCTCATTGGCTGGCACTCGTCGCTATTTCTAGCGAAATGTTAGAAAAGAAAAAAATATTAAACAACACAACGGTGGTATTACAGATTGATAATAAATTATTTAAGTCCCGTTGAAACACGGGAAATATTAACGCATTTTCGTGCCAGTTAAATATCAGTCGCTGAAAGCCCAAGTGTAAAAATATTAAAAACTTTATACGTTTCCATAAAATAGTATATTTTCATTGAATATTCGTCATATACACTTCAACAAACACCACAGATCCAACAAAACCGAAATTTTTCATTTATAAATAAACATCAATGCGCAAGCATGCATGCATACAAAAAAATCTCGCAATATTGCGGGAACAGTGATTAAGCGACTAAAAATTCCACACTATCGCGGGACCAGAGTGCAATGTGTCAATACGCACAGGGAACACGTTTATATTTGTCTGTACAACAGAAACATACGTCTACTTTATATTTCGATCACTTATCATTGGAATCCATTGTTTCAATATTTCTGAAACGTTTTATAAATAATGCTCAACCAGTAGTATACTCTAATTGCAAAATTCAGATTATACTTCCCTCGTGAAATCTTTCCTTAAACGGTAAGTACTTGTAATTATTAAAATTATCGAGAGAAAATCGATAAATGAAATCAAATCGAAATAGAAGTGATTTTGGTATTGGTAAGAAAAATGATCTTGCTTTTCTTTACATAGAAAAAAAAGGGTTTACGATACGATGGGGTTCAACGTTTTTCTCTTCGTTCGAAATGACAAGATGACTAACACGTCATTGATGCGCGTTGACAGTTCCGCTGAAAGTTTTGCAGCAGTACTGCAGTACTTTTACCCTTGACAACTTGTCGTGTAATCGCGGTAAATGTTCGTGCGCACTCGACGTGAAATCGTTACACTACCCTAAACTTTGCACGAACTTCAAGGCATTGGAAATTTGGATTTCGTTCGTCTCAGTGGTTCTCAAACTGATCTTCAATCCCCGGATCAATTTCCTTCGCGAATTTTATCCTAAACGAGGTCTGCGATTTTACCGTTATTTCAACAATAATTGTGGCTGTATTTATACACATGGTCAACATCTGACTGGTACGTCAGAATATTTCAATAAAAAAGTACCGATAAATAAAATCTTACTAACCTTTTGCACTCGGAAGATTTTCATTAGAAATATTTTACCATTTTGTGATGAGATAGGATATTTTGTGAAACTCAACGAGAAATCACACTTACATTGACAAGGCTATTTTTGAATATTTCTCAAGTTGACTGAAGTTTAATATTAATTATCAAATTCTATAGTTTAACCGTATGAAATCAATTGATGAGTACGAGGCATCTCTCGATTGTAAAGGGTCAATAAGTTTCGAACTGATATTAAAAACAAATTTCAAAGCAAACTCTATCAGTCTATTCGTGAATTTAAATTTTGAACGTTGACAGAGTCCCTTGCAGATGACCTGATAGGTGCTGCCATCTGTCACACGGGAAATCTTTCGAATCTCTAGCATCTGCAGCCGAAAATTGTTACACGAGCTACCCTTTCTTTACCTTGTAAACATTATTTCCTTATTGTTATCAACAAAATCCTAACATTTTATGTGTTTATCGCAGACGAAATAAATCCAGTGAATTCACTGACCAGTGCAAATGAACGAACGTGTTAACGATCCGAATAACAGGGGAAAGGTAATTTTTTCATTTGGACAGAGATAAGTACACGTGTTCGGTGATAACTTTCCTACGTTAAGTAAAGGTAATATTATGATAATGCCAAGATATCACAAACAAAGCGTTGTATATGTCTCACGTGAGTAGGCGTTACGTGCACAGAAAATAGACACGTGAACAGGAATACCAGGGGAATATATAAATCCCATTCACAAGAGCTGTTTACCGTACGAAATTGTTGCTGTTTAAGTGGCGCCTATTTATAGTCCAGCGTACTATTGCGGCGATTAATCTTAATCACAGTGTCACGACGCGTTCTGGCACTCTTTTATTGTTGCCGTTTGGCAATCGGTGCGTGTAACCGAAACGTACATCGTGTTATCGTTCAGTTTTTAACCGAGGGCGATAAATGTGCCGTTTAAATGCGATTACCTTATCCCGTTAAACGTCAGAAACCTCTTCGAAACGGTCTCTCGAATTCACAAAGCCGCCTCGCAGATCGGTTGGTCCCACGATTAAACCCGAGTCCACTAAAAATAGAAATTTCGCGATATTTTTACATCGGCCACCAGAAACGCTACACTTAAATAACCCGCGCACGCCGGGGCCACACGGTAATTAGAAATTAACGAGTCCTCTGACGAAAGTCACATTTCGAAGGTCACTCCCGAAAACCTCGGAGACCGGGCTGCTTTAACGGTCCTTAACGATCTCGCGTAACACGGTTCTATTAACCCTTTGCACTCCAGAACTTTCTCACCGGAAATATTCAATGTTTTCTAACGAGACACAGACGATATTTTCTTAGATTCAATTAAGAAATCTCACATGCATTGTGCAAGAGAATTATTTTCTTTCAATATTTCGTACATTGACGCATTATACGAAGTTTAACACGTTGAATGCCATGGGGGTCACCGGTGACCCCAACCAAATCGAATTACTATAGTTCATTCAATTAACACATTGACTGCCAAGTAAGCACCAGCCAAAACCTCCGCATAGTCAAAATAATTTTCATAATAAAACAGAAACTGAACGGTCAAAATTCTTTATAACGGTCGCCCTACTGCTCTTTCTATATTTAACGCATCTAACAAAATTCAGTTCGTTCGATACGTCACCGAGAAAATTCATTTTTAAGTTGACGGAGAAAATGCTGTCACCCGAATTCGGACGACATGGCAGTTAAAGTGTTGAACGATGATTACTTGAAAATATTTCTATATTATAAATAATGCTCCCTAATGCGGTGCCACTCAGGTATGTCAACATGCAATGATAATACAATTTAAAGTGATTCAATATCACACTTCTATTTTCTGTATTTTACTCTATGAGATCGTGCGGCATTCAACGTGTTAAATATCAAATTTTACAGTTTCGCTGTGTCAAGTCATTCGGTGACCTAGAGCCGCCTCTGGAGTGCAAAGGGTTAAGCTTAAATATTGTTTTCTCGTTTGCAGTCCTTCACGCTACGCCGCACTCGTGTGGACTGTTCAAAAACGTACTTAGCCGGAGAACCGAGGAACGCGTCGCGATCGAAAAAGGCGGTTAACCTGTTAACCGGGGAAATCCGTTCGTTTTTCGGTAACTCTTACCTTTCCATTGAATTGCTTCATCGACAAAAACCGCGTGGCATTCGATCAACCGTTTATTCCGAGATTATACCGCGCTCGAACAATCAGGTTAGAAAATCAATTTAAGGGACAAGTTAGTTTCGAACTCGTCGAGTACCATTACGATGGCGCCACCGGCTATGGTGCACCTTGAATATCCTTTTCCCTCCTCTCCGGCCGTCGGAGATAATTCTTCGCTGTTACGTGTTCGCTGTTCCTCGCGAGTAATAATCTTAATCGCGTCCGTGTAATTAATGGCCACGTAATAAATACGCGAGTCACGAGATACGCGAGCTTATACGAAATCGCTAACAAGGGAGCCCGAGTGCCTTCGAAGTTAACGATTCGACTCCTCGCGGACAGCACAATGCACTTGTAACGAGGCGGAGAGAAAAGAAAACGGGCA